TGAATGTGAGAGTGGTGTTGAAAGAGACTCCCTAGGATGGCTTCCAGGTGTCTCAGGTGTGGGCTGGCCGATGAGATGCCAGTCACCAAGAAAGGGAATTCAGGAGGAAGCAGATTGGTGGCAGACAGTAAGACAGTACCTGCTGGAAGTGTAGCTAGGAGAGTGTGCAAGATTTATTTTGCCCAAGAGAGGGAAAGAACCTTTAACAAAATAAGGTCTCCCCAATGACCTGTGGAAATCCATCCTGCTTGTCCAAGAGAAGAACCACAGCAGAATCTGCCTCACCGTGCCACTGGTAACAGAATCTCTCTCTCTCTCTCTTTTTAAGATTTTATTTATTTATTTGAGAGAGAGAGAGCGAGCACAAGCCGGGGGAGGGGCAGGAAAGGGAGAAGCAGACTCGATGTGGGACTTGATCCTGGGACTCTGGGATCATGACCTGAGCTGAAGGCAGTCGCTTAACCAACTGAGCCACCCAGGTGCCCCAGAATCTCTCTTTTTATGGTTTCTATTCTTTTCTGGGACTACCTGAGAGGGACATCACTAACTTTCCTTCAGATTAAACAAGTTTCTGAAGAAGACAGATCAGGCTTGCCATTAAAAAACAACAAAACCCATCTGTTGTGGGTGGCAAAGCCTTTGTAAGGATGCTAATCCTCCCCAGAGGAATTAGAGGATAAAGAAAGGGAACTCCTAAATTAATTTTTAATTTTTTTCCATCTACCATCAGATACAGCCAATTTGCCTTCTTGACAGGGTAGTTTGCTTTAGGAAGAGTTAATGCAGGTGGCTATTGGTTTACAAGTTAATTGAATCAGGCTTATTCAATCAAGGAACTCCGTTTATTCCTGTGAAGTTAGAGGTTTCTTTTATCTTATTGTTTGAATACATAATACATTACATGGCTCAAATATCTAAACAGTGTAAAAAAATACACACTGAGAAACCCCATTCCTACCCAGGTCCTACTACCCTTTCCATGGCTCTCCCCTGTAGGTATATTACCTTGGTGTTTCTTTATACAAATATAAGTTCAAAGGAGTCTGCACACTGTTCTGTATGTTACTTTTTGTCATGTAACAATGTATCCTGGAGATCTTTCCATGTTAGTACCTTCATCTTTGCAGCTGCATAATACTCCACCATGTGGCTATCCCACTGTTCGTCCTGTACTGCCGATTGCGTAGGTTATTTCTACATTTTTTTCTTATAAAAATGCCACAGTAAATACTCTTGAACATACGTCTTCTTCACACATGGTCAAGAGAACACGAAGGAAGATTCCTACAAGAGTGCTAGAGGTGCCTCAATGGCTCAGTCGGTTAAGCGTCTGCCTTCAGCTCAGGTCATGATCCCGGGGTCCTGGGATCGAGTCCCACGTCGGGCTCCCTGCTCAGCGGGCAGTCGGCTTCGCTCTCTTTCTCTCCCTCTGCCCCTCCCCACTGCTTGTTCTCTATCACTCTCTCTCTCTCGCCAATAAATAAAATCTTAAAAAAAATTCTTTTAAAAAGAGAGATTGCTAGACCAATGGGTAAATACATCTCTAATTTTAGGGGTTGTACCATTTTGCAGTCTCACCAATAAGGTATGAAAAATCTCAGCAATAGAGTCTGTTATCAAACTTTTGTATTTTTGTCAGTCTCGTAGGTGAGAAACAGTATCTCGGTATATTCTTAGGGTATGTTATTGTAACATAAATCAAGCATCTTTTGTTTAAAGAATTTATTATTTTTCTTAACTGTGTCCTTAGTCCATTTTCTATTGTTTTTTTCTTTATTCCTAGGAGCTGTTGATTAATAGAGGGATTAGCTAAAATATAGGCTAGAAATTTAACACAACAGTTTATCATGTGGCATTGGAAGACAGTAAGTTGCCATACCGTTCTCAAACATCTGAAGTAACTGCCTAGCCAGGAAAGATTAAATAATGTGCCGAGGGCCAACTGAAGGATCTAGAACCCAAGTTGTCTGACACATACAAGCACAAGAAAGTCTCAATTAACCATAAGTCAGACGTCAGATTCAAATTTCCAGTGTGTTCCAATCTGGAAGTAGACAAAAATGGCCTCATGAGAGATCTACCTCAAATCGCTCATGACCTAAAAATCCATTGCATTTCACAGCCGTACCACAGATCCCCTCTCACATAGGGCCTTACGAATCCCATTAGCTCGGTGGGGTTAAATCAGTGGAGGGTATCAAGGAGGGCACTTGCTGTGATGAGCACCAGGTGCTGTACGGAAGTGCTGAATCACTAGATTGTACACCGGAAACTAATATTACACTGGATGTTAACTCACCTACATCTGTGGTTTCCCAGCTCGAAGCAATTAGAACTCAGAAAGTCAAAAGCAATGAGGGAAGGATATGTAAGTTTAAATCAGACTCCTGGACAACAGATCTCGAAGGAAGAGACCAAGAAAGCAAGACAATGCCAAGTCAGAAAAGCACATGGCCAACTGGGGCCACTGGCTCCTGGGAACAAAGAATCCTAAAAGTAGGTGCCAAGGTAATGATTGCATGAGAATATACTATAACTAGCATCCATTCTTAATCAAATCCTTGAGGTGTAAAGAACCCAGTTCTTCCTCATACCCAATTCGGGATTCTTCTCTAGAGCAGCTCTGGGTGATCACTGGGCCTCTGCTTGTATAGTTCTGGGCAAGAAACCTCAACATCAAAATACACTAAAGAGAAACAACTGTATGGTGAGTACGTGCAGTGTGCCAGGCACTGGGCTGAATTCTTGCTCCGCATTTCCTCATTTAATCTGCACAACAACCCTGAGTAGGCATTTTACAGATGTGGAAATTTAAAGATGTTAAGTAACTTGCCCAAATCACGAGAGAGAAAAAAGAAAAAACAAAACAAAAAAACCCAAACCAGCGCCGACACCCGCGAGCTGGCCTGGGACTATCAGCCAGCCCTGGTGTTGCTAGGGAACAGCCCCGCGTTCTCCTGCTGAACACGAACAACGTCTCAGAAGAGCAACATCGAGCAAGGCCACTCTGTGGTCGTGATAAATTAAGACAAAAACAAGACCCCTCATAATCTCGTCTGACCTCAGCCAAAATATGAACATTGACCAAACCACAAAAACGACCAAACACCGCCCCCCGCCAACCACCGCCACCAGGGGGTGGCTAATGACTGACTGCGGCTTCTTGGCCAACCAAGGCTTTTGCCTCACTGCAGCCTTCCTTGTGAAGATACTCAATAGAATTCTCCCCCTTCCTGACAGCATCCAATCCAGAGCAAAGTTCTGTTTCCTTAAACTCCCCACAACCACCAGCAAGCCTAAAGGCTGTAACTCCTTTCTAACACCAACCTACTGAGACGCCCCACAGTGTGAGGTCTCTCTCGCTACAGCAAGCAATAAACCCAACTTTTCCAACTCTACGTGCATTCCCGGAGGTCTCTGGAGGGCACCGAATGTCACATAGAGAATTAGAGCGAAGGGAAGGTTCCAACGGAGGTCCACCTGCCTCCGAAGCCTGAGCCCTTGGCCACCCTGCTTTGCAGATTCCTCAGTCAGCTTTTTAAAATTTGGGCTACATATAATTCACTTTATAAAATAAGAAAGTGTGCTCAAAAGGGTAGACTTCAGTTATAGTGGAAGTGAAAATCACAGTTATGGGACACATGTCCTCACTATGCAGGGAAATGAAACATTGCTGTACTTGTCTCATACTTAACAGCTTCACATTTTAAATTATTTTTAGTTTTCGAAATAACGTGGTTTAGTCTATTAAATTAAAACAGAGGTGTCATCCTTTTATATCTTCCACGCTCACAGCCCAGTGCCTGAGCTCATTTTTATAAGACAAATTAAAGACAAGGTACTCCATTACTTCTTTCTTAAATAAAAATCAGTGAGATTTAAAAAAAAAAAAAAGGTCACAAAACAGGCACGAACTTGAGAAAGGAGTGAGCGTGAAGCGACAAAGGCTTTTGGGAAGTGGGGTGGGTAACAGAAGAGACAGGGTTTCAGAACAGAGAACTCGCTGGTCCCCTTGAGGGTTCAAAGAGAACAAAAAGAAAAACACTTCTGGAAAATGCAAAACTTCGTCTCCAAGCAGGCGATCTACGGGACAGCAGCTGGGAGCCGGGGCCCTATTTCTCAGATGGCTCTAACTGCCTGGGCTCAACTTCTCGCGGCTATTCTCCTTTATAGGAAGAGCGCGTTGGTGATTTCGACAAGCATCAATTTACTCTATATCGCTTTAGCTGCTTCTCCGGCGTCACATCGCTTCTTTCATTCCACTGCGACTCGCTGCCTGTCGGCCCCTTGAGAGCTACGGTGCCCAGACACCCGGTCCTCCCATCCTAGTCACTCCTTTGAACAGAGCAGGTGCCCAAGGAGGGATGTTTTCAAATATTCTACAACACATGCCTTTGGAGGAGCCGCCCCTCCTCGTTCCCCCTCGGGCGCAGATGCCCAGTGGGCTCCCAGGGGGTCCGCACGTCGAGGCCTAAGGCAGCCACGCGAGCAGCTGTGGTGTCATCCCGCCCCCTGCCGATGACACCCAGGGGGGCTTGGCCTTCTCCGCAGGCTTGGGGCCCAATTTCAGGCGACTGGGGGAACGTTCCAGCCCAGAGTCTCAACTCCTGTGGGCTCCGGCCTCTCCTTCCCGCACACACGCCCCGCAAGCCGGGAAGCCTTTGCACGCCCCGGGGGAAACGGGAGGACAAAGAATGAAGGGGTGGGGAGGGCTGGTGAACAGGGGGTGACAGAAGGTACCGGCCCTCCCAGCAGCCCGGGAAAGAAGTGGCCGCGGGGAAGGGGGGAGAGGGCTGCGGAAGGGGTGGGGGAGAGGGGCACGCGATGGGCCCAGCCGGCCAGTTGTGGGGCAGCCGACCGCCTCGTCTCCCTTGGGGCGGACGGCGGGGAGGGGCGTCCCGGAGAGAGAAGAGCCGCGGACTCGGCTCCCCGGGGCTGGCCGCGCGCCCAGGCGGGAGCCGGAGCCCGAGCCGCCGCCGAGCCCGTGCCGCCGCACTCACCTGCCCGCGCCGCCGCCGGGTCCCCGCAGCCGCGCACTGGGCGCCCCGCGCGGCCCGGGCGGACTAGCCTCGCGGGGCGGGCCGGGGGCGGGGGCTCGCGGGAGGGGGCGGGCCGGCGGGAACCTTCGCTCGGTGGCCGCCCCCTGCGCCGCGGGCCGCCAGCCGGACGGGAGCGGGGCGCCGGGCGAGCGCGGCCGAGGCGGGGCGAGGACGGCGGGCGGCGGCCGAGACCCGCCCGAAGGCCCGGAGCCGGAGGGGCCCCTCTCTTCGCGTGACTGCGCCCACGCCGGTCGCTGACACCCCGGGGCTCGGCTCTGGCCGAAGTCCCTCACGCTTTTCGGGATCCAAGGCCTGGGGCGCACCGGGGATAGGCCGGGGCCTCAGCAGAGGAGTGGGCCCGGCCTCCCTCCCCGAGGCCTCCTCTCCCGCCCTCAGTCCCGGAGGGTTGGAAGCCTGCCGGGCCCAGTCACCCAGAGTTGGGTGCCGCCTGGCACCGTAGCTTCCCGGTTCCAGCGGGCAAGTCTGAGGCTGCTCTAGCCTGTGGGAGCCCCTGATGCCCGGGCCGGGGGGTGTCCGGATTGGTGGTGTGACGGTGCCCACACTGGTCCTGACATTATTAGTGATTCATGCAACTATATTCTAAGCTCCTCGAGGGCAGCGCCCAGCATCCCTCCCTAGGTGCTTAGTGAATGAGTGAAGCTGAGTGCAGTTGGTGCTCAAAAATGGCTCGCTGATTGACTGACTTAAACACTATATCCCTTCAGTCAGTATTTACGGATCATCTTTTCTGAGCAGTACTCTGCTGAGCTGAGAACAATGAATGAGAAAAAATAAAATTTCTGTCCTTGGAGAACTTGCCTTCAGGAGTGTTGAGTTTTGTTGCTGCCTTCCACAGGGCGGGGAAAGAGGCAGGGCTTTCCGGGGGGGGGGGGGGGGGGGCCATATGGTCTAAACCTATCCCTTGCAGTTACCCCACTCTTGTATTTGTCTCAGGAAAGCCCTCCTGACTAGTCACATTAAAAATACAGCCAGTCCATCAATCTGCAGGAACACTCCCTAGTTCCTTGCCTGCTTTATTTTTCTCCTTTGCACTGACCACCATCTGCTAGACTATACACATCATACTTCATGTATTATCTTTCTCTTCCTTAGAATGTCAGTTCCATGAGGGTAGGGACTTCTGTCTGTTTTGTTCCCTATACCCAGCACCTAGCATTAGTACCTGCTGCATGGTAATAGTAAATAATTGTTTAATTAATGTGTCCTCTTGTTTGTTTTTCCAACTAGATTGTGGGGTCTTATTCATCTGTGCAACCATCAATGGTTGTTGGACGAGTGAATAAATAGAAACGGTTGAGGGAGGTGGTCCTCTGTCTTGCCAAACTAATAGGTATTGGAAGACAAAATGATTCACTGTGCTGGCTTTGGAAAGAGACTTTTCATCCATGCTATTGCTTCTCTGTGTTCATAAAATGGTATAGTGATAACTCTGGCTTGATCAGACCTAGGCCTTAAGAATATCCTTATAAACAGCATGTTCACGAAGTCCCCGCCAACAAGCCCTAGCCCATTCTAGATAGGTTACCACTTCTAACTGAGAGGGCATGAGCTTTCTGTGGCAATGGTTACTTATGGGCTTTAAATTCTTCCCCTCTTTTTGTCCCATCCATTGCCTTTCAGTTAAATGCCTGAGAAGGATAATAATAATGTTAGCTGCTAATATTTATATAGCACTCTCTAGTTAGTATCACGAAGCATGGTTCTGAGTTCATTACATGCATTGATTGACTCATTTAATCCTCACAGCAACCGAGTGGTGGTCCAAGTTACAAATGAGTACATTGAGGCACAAGCCAGGAAGCTTACCTAGCCGGGAAGAAACAGAGCCAAGATTTAAACAGACCACCTGACACCATCTGAGTTTCTTTTTTCAGTTGGGATATAACTGATATATAACATTGTATATATTTAAGGTATATAACACATTGATTTGATATACTTTTATATTGATGAAGTTCATTAATGGGGTGCATGATATAAAGGAACATATTAATGAACCAGCTCTGTATGGCTGCCATCACTACTTCTAGTTTTTTGGGAGTCATTTTTGGAGAGACTTGGACTCTTTTAGATGAATAGCCACTGTGGAAGAAAAAGAAAACACACAGATTTGGGATGAAAAAAATTTGGGTCAAATCCAGTCTACCATTACCAACTGAGTGACCTTAGGCAAATTTTCGACTTCCTATTTTAAAAATCACTTATAGTGTTTTCATGAGATTAAAAGAGAAAATGTATGAAAAGCACTCAGCACATAGTACACAATAAAAGTTAGTTTCCTTTTCTTTATTAATTACTTTCTAGTTAATGTCACTTTTAAATTGAGTCTAAAATTTTTCACCTATGTATAATTTTGTCTTTTACCATATTGACTGCTTCCCAGAGGAACATAGCTACTAACATAAATTTACATAAAATTTGGCATACATTGATATATATTTTTAAACCAATTTATCTCCCTGAATCCCAAAAGTGTTTTAACTGGAAACTGTAATGCCAATGCATATTACCAATTACTGCATTAAAATAAAAAGCTTTATGGAGGGTTAAATATGGCCCAGAATTAACGCCTATTTCTTTCAGGGTCTCAACCATCTCTTGTTCATTTGCAAGGTAGAGATACAGGCAGGAGAAAAGGAAAATTTACTTGGAGGCCAGCAAATGACCAACAAAAATTATAAAAATTTAAAGTCTCAATGCAAATATTATTGGGGACAAATAAAGAAATGAAGTCACTTGGGGGACACTGGGTGGCCCAGTCAGTTAAGTGGCTACCTTTAACTCACCTGATCTCAGGGGTCCTGCTCAGCGGGAGGTCCTGCTCAGCAGGGAGTCTGCTTCTCCCTCTCCCTCTCCCTCTGCCCCTCCCCCTGCTTGTGCTGTCTGTCTCTCTCTCTCAAATAAAAAAATCTTTTTAAAAAATGAAGTAATTTGTTGTTCAAATTATAATTTACTACATGATACACTACCTAAAACTTAATGACTTGAAATAACAACCATTTTATTACATCTCAGGATTTTGCGGGTCAGAATTTTGGGCAGGGCTCAGCTGAATGATTCTTCAGTTCCATGTGGCTCAGACTGGGGTCATTCAGTAGAATTGAGCTAGTGAATGACCCAGCCTGGAGGGTCTCAGACGGCCTTACCCACATGTCTAATGCCTTGGCAGGGATGGCTTTGGAAGGCAGCCCTCAGCTGGGATTATCAAGCAGACCCCCCAACACGCGGCCTCTTTATCATAGTGGTCTTGGGGAAATCAGACTTCTTATATGGAGGCTCAGGGCTGCAAAAGTGAGTGTTCCAGGAAACAAGGCAGAAGCTATGTTTTATGACTTAGCCCCTGAAGACCTGGCATGCAACTTCACAACCTTCCAGAGTTGAAGCCAGCCCAGATTCATAGAGAGGGGAATTATACTCTACCTTTCAGTGGGAGAGACTACAAAGAACTTCCAGACACCTTCAATCTATCACACTTGTTTTTATGAAAGAGAATGGTATTAAATAAAGTTAGGAAAAACTCCTACATTTTTGTCCATTGTTCATGTGGAAACATATATCATTGTCAGCCTTAAAGAGATTTACAATGAAGACCAGGAGTCATCCACAGGGTCCGGTTTATAGAAACATTCAAGAGTAGTGCAATTCAGAGCTGTACATGCTTTTCTTGCCCCATTATCATTGTTCTTAAAGTTTGTCCAGCATCTAAGTTAGCTATGTCCAACACAGAGAAAGGCAAAGTCCATACTTCCAGCATTTTGTTAATTTAACAAATATTTGTTAAGGACGTACTGTATGCCAAGCCCTATATTAGCTACTGGGGCCATAATAGTGAGAGAGGGAAATCTAGTTCATGTCCTCACAGAGTTTGGGAGTATATCTGAGAAAGAAGACAGATAAACAATGAGGATACAGGGTGAGAAGTTCAATGATCAGGTGCCATGGGAAGGTTTGATTAGACCATTGAATGCGGTAGAGGAGGAAAGGAATCTGGGTCAAGGCAAGTCAAGTAGGGTAAGCTAAACAAATAAACCCCCAGATGATAATGGCTCAAATATAATAGCAGCTTATTTTTTCTCAATGAACAACTGAAGGCAGTTCCAGAGTATGGGAGGTGGTGAGGGAGGAGGGTAGTCTCTGTTCCTTCAGGAACCAGACTGGTAGAGGCCCTGCCATTTTCAGCTCAAGGCTGCCCGGCTTTTCTGGGCACGAATGTCTCCAGCAGGCAGAGAGGGAAAGAACCTGGAGGCTCTCTCATGGGAGGTTTTTCATGGGCCTGGCACTTTTGCGTACCTTCTTTTGGCCAGAAATTAGTTATACGGTCCCTCTAGCCACAAGGAGGCTGGAAAACGTAGCCTTTGTGCCCAGGAAAAAAAGAAGAAGTCAGTTTCCAAGAGCAGTAGCAGACTCCACTTCAAACCACCTTTTATTTTATTTTATTTTATTTTAAAGATTTTATTTATTTATTTATTTGACAGAGATACAGCGAGAGAGGGAACACAAGCAGGGGGAGTAGGAAAGGGAGAAGCAGGCTTCCCGCCGAGCAGGGAGCCCGATGCGGGGCTCGTTCCCAAAACCCCGGATCCTGACCTGAGCCAAAGGCAGACGCTTAACGACCAAGCCACCAGGCGCCCCTCAAACCACTTTTAGAGGACAAACAGGTGTTGGCCAAGTTCCTAGCTTTTATAAAGGATCCCAACATGGGCAACCCAGATAGCTAAACCATTTTTAGTTTTGATAATTTATTTTCAGATTATATAACACATACTATGAAAAAAAAGTAAGCCTTTCTTCACCCTACACCTGGTTTAAAGGATAGCTAAGAAAACATGGAGAAACTGATGATAAAGCGGGTGAGGGTGGGATTTTCATCTTCAACAGTTACTACTGATAAAACCTCTTAGCTGAGTTTTAATTGAAGGGGGAGAGTGGGAATTGTATATACATTTGTGGTTTAGCAAGGTTCTTAAAAAGGCTAATTACAGTGGAAAAAGCAATTTGGCAAGAAAAAAAGTTATCTTGGCATC